GCACCTCCCCCCCCCCCCCCCCGCCGAAGCAGGGTCACCTACAGCAGGCTGCACAGGACCTTGTCCAGGCGGGGCCCCACATTGTCCCTTCCAACAGCTTCCCACAGAGGTCCCTTCCAACCCCAACCATTCTGTGATTCTGTGCTACTCCTGTCTCCTCCCTTGCTGCCTTCAGCACCCTTTTCCCTCTGTATTTTTTCTCTGAGCTCTGACAGCTCTGATGAGTCTGCCGTCATGGCTTTGTACCACCCTCCCTGTGCTGGGGGGAGGGACCATCTTGTGTCCTGCAGCCCTTCCTCACCGGGGCTTTTGGGCATCTTCATGGGGTCCTTCTCCTCTGGTCTCTCTCCAAGCGATCCAGCTCTCCTGGGCGCTGGACTGTGCTGGGGACCTGCTGTAGCGCACACTGGTGGAAGTGAAAAATAAGCATCTTTTATTAATGTTGGGAATGTTTTATTAAGCAGTCTTTTTCCTTTTTTGTCCTTTTTTTTTTTTTTTTTGAAGTATAAAGTAATTTTTCCTTTATTCTCCTGTGGAAAAAGTGATTTCCACTTTTGCATCTCCCACCAGATTCAGAAGGAGCTATTAAAGCCTTCAAAACAGCTGAAAACAGCATTCTGGTCCCTATGAAAGTCCCTGATTTAAACTCTGATTCCTAGCAGGCTTGTCAGGTCCGTAGACACGGGATAGATCCCGGGGGAAAACTGGAGCTGTATCTTACTGGCAAACGTCTGTTGTTTCTGTCTCTGGGGGCCTGAAAATAGCTTTTGATTAGTTTTTCCTGTGGACAGGAGTGATGGTGCAGGCTGTATTTTGTCAGTCCTGGCATTGAAGGAAAGTCGTTGAGGGCAGGAGAACATGGAGAGGTGATGCTCCCGGGAGGGACCGTTGTAAACCAGCAAGCATCTCTTCACATGATTCGGAACAGAAGACGTAACGGTGTCTGAGTTTTCAGAAGGGACAGGAGGAAAGAGAGGGTGGGCAGTGTTTCAATCAGGCTTTTCTGTATCTCCATCCACCACATGGCAGCCCGTGCCCTCCCCTAAGCACAGGTCTGCGGCCCCAGAGGCACCATGAATGATCTGGAGATCACAGGCAGCTTCTGAGATGGAGCTTCTGTTTGGGTTGCACTGAGAGAGGAGGAAGAGGTTGGCTACAAACCCAGTATAGGTGTGATGAGATGGGAGCGATAACTGGACGTGGCAAGACCATCCTCGTCAGGCTGGCAGAGCTTGTGGTGCTTCCTAATTCTCAAACGCTGTCACCTAAACGACTGTGGCGGAGGGGCTGCATCTGATGGGACTCATGGTGGAAGCTCGCTGGGATGCCCATCGTGCAAACGCCGATGCCTTTGCCGGGGTGTCACACTATTTCTGCTCTGATCAAGCACCTTGCGCAGCAGTGTCCCTTCCGCAGCAAGCGAGCTCTTCTCCTCGCGGCTGAGAACTGGTGATGGTGATTAGAAAGCCTTGCTCTTGCAAGACTGTGGAGAGCAGGAAGGATGGGTCCTTGGGCATCGCCGGCTCACCGTGCAGCAGTGCCAGGTACTCCTGCTCCAAGGGGCTGTCTAGCTCCTGCTGGAAACAGTTGTGCACATCTGCCTTCCAGATTTGTTAACACAAATCTCTATGAAAAAACACTATTTTAATAAACATGCTGTGATAGAAAGATGCCAACTGTGTTTCAATTTCAAGTCCTGAATTCTGAGCTGATTTCTGATTTGGCATGGTTCTTGCTTAAACACTGGCCCAGGCTGCCCAGAGAAGCTGTGGCTGCACCCGTGTGCTGCACCCTCCCTGGCAGTGCTCAAGGCCAGGTTGGACGGGGCTTGGAGCACCCTGGGCTGGTGGAAGATGTCCCTGCTCCTGGCAGGGGGGTTGGAGCTAGATGATCTTTAAGGTCCCTTCCAACCCTGACCATTCTAGGATTCTATGATTCTTCATGGCGTGGCCATTATAAGCTGGATAAAATCAGCAGCTGGTCTGTTATAAAAAAGGGGTTTTACTGCCAAGTACTCATAAAAAAGAAAGGCAGAACTGTCAGTGATGAAGTGCTAGCTGCGACCGGTGGTCCGAATGCGTTGGTGTACACTGGTACAGCATATTGGCATGTCAGAGATGCACCGGGAGGCAAAGAAGTGTCGTAGCTGGGGCTGTTAAATCTTATTTTAGCCACTTCAAGCAGCTGAGAACCTTGTTTCATAAATACAGTAGCGTTGCACGATCTTCCAGTGTATATAGTCACTAGGCATTGCTGTCTGTGCATAAATTAATTCTTCATCTGTGATTATAACTGTACGAGCAAGCAGGCCACCTGGTGTCTCTGTAATGCTAATTGTTGAACCGTCTCTTTTTCTCCCTTGAAGTCCCACCCAATTTGACTGTTCCTCAAGAGAAGTCACCCCTGGTCACCCGGGAAGGGGACACGATCGAGCTGCAGTGCCAGGTGACGGGGAAGCCCAAGCCCATCATCCTCTGGTCCCGAGCAGACAAGGAGGTCGCGATGCCAGACGGGGCGATGCAGACGGAGAGCTACGACGGGATCCTGAGGATCGTGAACGTGTCCAGGGAGATGACGGGAACCTACAGGTGCCAGACCAGCCAGTACAACGGGTTTAATGTGAAACCCAGAGAAGCTTTGGTACAGCTCATTGTGCAGTGTAAGTAGACCCTCATTTTCTATCCATGTGTTTTTGCAGAGAAAAAGAAGTTGATTTATTTCGTCTCTTAATACGCAGCAGCAGGAGTCTTACATTTTTGATGCTGCGTTGTTTGGCTCTGTAGTTCCCCGAATCCATGATTTTAATGTAAATATGGAAGTAAAAATGACATAGGAGTCCCATTTATATTAAAAAAAAAAAAAAAAGGTGTAAGGCAGAAATTATTTTCCCAATGCCTAGCTTTAAAATTCTTGACACAGGAACAAGCACATGAGATAGGAGGACATATTTCTATAAATGTAGATCTGATACTGATCTGGTTTGTTGATACTGTGTAAAACAAGAAAAAAATGAGGGGAAGCGCTGTTCCACCTTAACTGATCTGCGTGCAGATCTGGATAGTCTGCTCTGACTCTGAATGCGAACCATCGGCATCAGGAATAGGAGGTAAAACGTAACGGGAAATCAATTATTTTGGAAATGCTCAGCGTTTGTTATTGGAAAATGAAAAGTCGTTTGATACGTGGGAAATAACAAGCCATTCTTTGTTGCTGTGCAGCAGATAAAGATGTTCACTAAATGACTTTCATGTGTCTGTGGTATTGTCAGCATTTATTTTCACTTTTTTCTGAGGTGACTTGTGCAGCCCTTATTTATTGTGGTTTCAGATGCCCAAAGATTATGGCAGGTTTGCTTTTTAACGGTGTTCTGTGCTCAGCACAATTGACCTCTGTTGGGGCCTCCAGGGATGAGATGCTGCAGTATACAGTTATTACTAATAATCAACTGATTTGTTTTTTCCAAGGTCTGTTGTATAACAAATTATTTATGCATTTGATGACATGTTGTGGTATCTGCAGTGCTTTCATCAGAGCTATTTACCGGTGTGCAGGCACAGCTTTCTATCAAAGCATGCCTCTGTCCCAGCCAGCGGATCAATGACACCGCGAGCCTCCTGAGAGTCAAGCCCGCAGGCGGGCTGGAGACGTCTCGCTTGGGCTGCTCCTGGTTGTGGGTTCATCTGCACCAGGACTTGCTTCATCCCACCTACACTGATGTATCTAAATCGGGAGCAGAGGTGTCTTTGGCTCCCTCTCTAGAGACTGCAGAAAATGGCTGGAGTCTTAGCTCATCCTCTGGAGAGGACAGTCTTTCTGTATCGAGCAGAACAGGATCATGGGGGGATTCATCTCCTACTCTGAATTCAGAGCGGGGAGCACTGGGGAGCCCCTGCCGACACAAGAATTTTTACTCATGATATTATTGCTAGGACCATGGTTGTTCTGATGATGTCTTCTGTGCTTATCATGACTTGGACTGCTCCTGACGACACACAGCTTCTCTTTTGGATCTCTTATAACAAGCAGTTGTCATTATAGGGGGGTTAATTTTAGCTGCACAGAAAAGGTGATTTACAGGAGGTGAACGTCATTGAAAGGTAGAAGATGAAAGACAGCGAAGGGCAGAACATAGGATATGTGGATGGGACCCCAAGTCTGTCCTGCAGATGGCCGTGCCACCGGAATGCAGGTCATAGTCAGGGCTGATAGAGCTGGTGGTACGGTGCCCTGAGCCCTCATGGCATGAGCAACGCAGGAAAGGAGAGGTCAGTGGTGGTGAAGAGGCAGAGAGCAGCAGAAAACCATCGCAGGGTTTTCCGTTGCTGCTGTTTATCAGGTGTATGCACAGAGGCTGGGTGTGGTATATTTTGGCTCCCACAGCTTTGCTGGGACATGTCTTTGCCATCCATTGCAAACATTAGAAAAGCGAGAAAAGGCTACTCAGTACGGTTGTAAATTAAAGAAAACCAGGGCTGTGAAAACATGCTGTGATACTCCCCAGCTGGTTGCTCTTGGGATGTTGGGTCAGGCCAGCTCAGGAGGCCAGCAGCAGCGTGGCTCATAGAAAAGTTTGACTAAGACTAGTTCCTCAGAGGGCAACAGTGATGAGTGGGAAAGGTGGTAATGCACAAGATTTTCAGATAGCTTGGACTAACGATTGGCCTGTGTGGTGACTGCGGGCCTTGATGACCTTGAACAGCAGAGAGGAAACATGAATAATAAACTCAGAAAGAGCTGGTTCGCAGGGTGCCCTGTGAATCTGCAAACAAGAACCACGGTACGAAGAGTGGAGCAATGGTCTTCGTGGGTAAGGAGAGGAAGTGGGTGCTTTGCCCTTTTCTGTCACTGATTTGCTGTGAGAAATAGAAATAATTTTGTTTTCCGGCCACTTGGATCTTCCGTCTCTCCATCTTAGCCGTTTAGTTTATATTGTCCTTTTGTCAAAGTGTGTAACCATATCCGTAGGTCTGTGCAGAGTCCAGCAAGGTTGTTCTGGCATCCTGGTTTGGGTTGTTTGTGATGGTGGGTCAAGGATGGGCAGGCAGATGATGGAGGCTTCTTCAAGCAGCTCAGTTTGTGTACAAATACGCGTGTGGAGGGTGTTCCCGATAAAGCAAGAGCTTCCATGGGAAAGCTCTGGAGATAAATCCACTCCATCGGGTACGAACAGCAAACCCACAGAGCAATGGCCAGGGCAAGCTGGTCGTCCCATCCCCAGTGCCGAGACTTTCTCGTCTCAATCCTTGGGAGTGTTATGAGCCCAGAAGGAGCTCTGTTTCATGTTTTCAAGTAATAACAGTAATTTTCAATTTTGCTTACTTTTCTTAATTTTTTAAACCCTCAGAAGCTCGATCCACTGGGGCACATTGGAAGATCAGGTATTCAGAAGCACTCTTGACATGGCTCTGTGTAACCGCTGTGATGGGTCTCACATTTTGCCCTGGAAGACTTTATTTCAAGTTTTTTGCAGTCATAGAAACTCTTCTGTTTATCCAGCGAGCTCTGCATCATTTTTCCTGGTCTCTATTACAACACTTTTAAGCAGATACTCGTATGTTCTTCAGCAGGGAGGTAATCACGTGGTTCATGTTAGAAGAAGGGACGGCTGGGTCTGGGACCTGGGGAATGTTTCCCAGGATCTGGATGAGGACTTCCCGCCAGCTGCACTTCTTCAGGACTCAAGCCAGTCCCTGGTGGACCCAGTGGGAGGAATCCCACTGCCTTCCAAAGGCTGGAGGGTGCATTTCTTGCATTGCTGTTATTTTATGATCTTTTATCGGTGGGAAAAAAGCTCTGGTTTTATGTGGGATTAGCGCTGCGATAAATGCAGCAGGTCACATCTTCTGAAAGCGATGAGAGACACAACTTGAAAACAGTTATTATAAGCAGGACTATAACAGGTATTTGCAGGAGATTTTTCTTTAATCTGTTCTTGATTAGATTTTTACTCACTTTATTCAGATCCTATAAAGTGACAATTTGGAGACGAATGGCCAAAGCAGATATTATGTAATGCTTTGGTTATTTTTCCCGTGGGAGGAAAGTATGTGTGTTCACATCAACTTCAGCATCATTTCCATCACTAGCATAGCATTTATTCAAATGTCATAAACCCCAGTTCTTGTCAGTAATTTTGTAATGATGGTTTTAGATGCCTCTATCAGTAATAAATGGGGAAAGATATTTAATGAAGCATTTTGTTTATGTAATAGCTCATTGATTTCACTTGGTATATGGTGCGTGGGTGTGGAAGCAGATATGTTCGTGCGTGTTGGTAGCTGGGTACGTTCCTATTCCTGTGGGGTGTCAGAAGAGTTGCTACTTGTGAAAGTAGGACTTTCTGTCTCACCAAGGGGCTGTATTACTCTATTTTGCTCCACAGGGCAAATCTTTCAGAGATCCTACCGCTCTAGGTTGTATCTGTTAGTTCAAATTAAGAAAAATTAAAGATAAATGCTAAGATAATGCCTTTTTTTTTAGTATTTGACTCACTCTCAGTTCATCTGACTAGTTTTAGCAGAATTTTTCTTTTCCTCTGTCATCCCTTTAACCCCGTGCTCAGTGATGTCAGGATCCCAGACCGTGAGCTCTCTAGGAAAATGGCTGGTTGCTGTGCTTTATCGCAGTTTGTCCTCAAGCTGTGATTTCAGAGTTTTGATTTTTCATGTTTACCATCAAATTCTAAAAATTCTAATAGGCAAATGAGAACACATGTTGGGAAACCGAAAGTAAAGGAAGACTGATCTCTCCTAGCCCGAGTCTGTTGGACAAGACGTGGTCGGTGTGCTTTTCGGTACACTTTGAATCATGCAATCACGTCCTGAAGTGATTGCTCAGCAGTAAAATACAGAAGAGAAGATACTTGGTTTGAAGTCTAATTGAGTAGACCTTAGAGAGGAATTTAACTGAAAATTGAAACCATCTAAGTGTTAGGTACCTGTACTCCCTGCATGGCTGTGGAGAGCGAAGCATCCACAGAAAGCAGCAGAGTCTGTGCTAAGGAAGGCGGCTGGGATGGTTCTTCTTTGTCCCAGTTCCCTATCTGTAACACAGAGATAACAGTTCCTACCCTAGAGGTTTTGCAGACGAGATTCTGAGGATGCTGTAGCAATGAGAGTCATGCAGTATCTGATCTGATCAATAAACCCTGTGTCATTTGCTTATTTCTCTTGTTTTCCTGTGATGTTTTCTTTTAGGTGTGTTGGCTCTCATCATAAGCTATGGGCTTTGCTGGCTTTGATCTTTATTGTTTGGCAGATTTTGTGAGCGCTGCTAGCGTATCTCTGATAGGTTTATTAGGTTCATGGAAGTACAGCACCAGTAGCAAGAAGAGCTAAACACCTTCGATGGGATTTGATTGCGGTTGTTACTGTAGTGTCCACCTTCCATGGGAGATTGGAGAAGACCTCTGGGGGAAGAACGAGAGTAAAAGACCGCTTTGTAAAGTGCTTGGATTCATTTCTCGCCTTACCCCACAGAATAAAAGAAGGATGAAGCCAGTTGTGATGCTAGGGACAGAGCTGAGGGAGGGCTGTCATCGTAGATAAGTCATCAGCAGAGCCTGGTCTGTGAAGTTCTGCCGGCTCAGGTTCCTCAGGAGCTGTGTGAGCAGAGACAGCATTTGGAGAGCAGAGATTTCCCCAGGACCCATGGGTGTTG